CTAGACAATCTCGCCTGACATCGACACTAACACACTCGACACACTCAATTCAAGTGACTTTCATGCACATCATTGTATCGAGGTTAAGTGGCTGATCAACTCCAACAGCCATCTCATGTGAACAACTCATACTACTACAATCACTAATCTCAACTACACAATCATTCAATTCAATCACACACTGATCTTCACGACCACTTACACAAACAGAATCACGCTCTACCCCCACTCACTCCATCAAACGCACACATACACACACACAGAAAAGCGTTGTTTACAAACTCAGTAACTACCAGAGAAATACAAAAACCATGTTATGTGTGACTTATTCTACGTAGCAGAGAGGAGAATCCTCGTCCACCTAATCACAACAGTTCACTCCCAAAACTGGTAGAATGAATGATACACGTGTGTTCCATCATGATTCAGTGAACTAGCTGAATATTGATCATGGAAGATTGTGGAGGCGCATAATTGTGAACAGAATGAAGACATATTTGTGTTATTTAAGGTGAACATCACGCGTTGTGTGTCGTATGAATATGTATTAGTATTTCTAAGTATTTTACTTCAGAAATAATTTAATTATAACAATGATGAAAATTAAAGCGCTTATGAAATCTGTTATTTTGCTATAAATAGCCAATTTCAGCACGATCAGCTCAGAGAACCAAAAGTGGCGATATTACATCATATAGTGTGTAGAATCTATTGGTTCGATCATTGAAAATTGGTGCTTAACTGACTGAATCGAATTTTCCACTCTCTCACACTGACTCACATCACTTGTTACATATCAGACAAATTAACTCAATCAAAAAATGAAGTACCTTGTTTACTTTCACATGTGTTACGCATAAACGCATGTCACCATTTATCGTGAGATGCATACTAGGCTCTGATTGATAGCATCACTGCGAACATCATTCCATTGAAACTCTTCACCAGATGGAAGATCAAACATATCTAGATGAAGTTATCTGATGGGTACCAATAGGATGAGAGTGAGTAAAATCCGACAAGAATCAGTCAATGCGATATTTTATTAATCTGGAGGCGTTTATCAAATATCGCTACGTAATTTACACCTGATCGATATGACACTATGTACGTTCGTGGTGTCCATTTAACTTGACAATCAGACCAAATACTTTGAAATCTTTGTGGGTTTCATGTTCAGTGATGGTCATCGAAGAACTGCATTCTGAGCATTTCATGTACAAAGTGTTTCATCATCTCTGATGAACTGCAGGACTACACTGATTTCTCTGATATCACAATGGTTAAATTCAAATGCTCTTGGCATTCCACTTGTTATGCACACTTCACTTCAGCTGATTGGTATTCGCTTCTTCTTACATTGACTAATTGTGTGTGAGCTGAAGTCCTCATGAAATCAATCCACACTAATGAATAGCGAGTAGTGATCATATGGAGAATTCCACATTCCTACTGACTCAGTATTCACTCACCTTCCTATATGCCCATTAACGAAGTCGTGTTGAGAGACCGTACAATTGATTTCGATTTACTACAACAATGTATAGCAGTGCAATATTGAGTCATGAGACGGCTTTCTATTTCAATTCACACGGCTGCTCAGCAGTGATTTTTATATATTGAATATCGATTCATACTCTGGACCGACATCATGGAGTAAATGTTCGAAATACAATGAAGAATAGAATTGCAATTGAATGAGAAGCGACGTTTTCGATTGTCCACTAGTCGACTAGTATGGCAGAGACGAGAACAAAGACTGAATGGCGAAATATGTGAAAGTGAGAATAAATGGAGAAAACATTGGAGTGAGTAGTCGACATTAATTTTCAAACTGGTTGGTGTTCTCGCTACCGTATTCCTGATGCTATTCTCAATGTTCCACTTCATCAAAAGAAGTACTTGCATCAAATTCTGAAAGTAGTATGTTCCTCAGTGATGTGCTTTCTTTTGCTAACATCGCCATGACAAACTTGTTTGAATAATGAAAGCAGCCCTGAAAGATGTGTCGTCTTTAATGTAGATATGATGAACTTTATTCAGAAAGGCGCATGCTCATATTAAGCGTTCAATGAATGCGTTCACGACATTGGTGTTATTAACCGGCAACTGACGTCTACAACTAACGATTATATCAGTGGCACTGGCCATGTGTGGCAAAAGACAAATGAGAATGCACATTTCAGATTCATGTTGTAACTTACACATCTGAAATGCCATTCTATCCACAGTTGAGTGTTCGACATTTGAACTTTTGGTTTCTGTGAATGCTCAAGTATATTTCGTGACAAGGAAGATAATTACACGTCATCTGTAGATCACTGAATCATAGCACTTCAAATCATTACAGTTATAATCACAGATAATCCATAGTGAAATATCAGTTGAATTCACAACTCTATGGTTGGTGATATCAAGTGAGATGTCGGAAATCAATGATCAAAAATCGTTTTGTGAAGTAAATTTTACAGATTTATAGCGGAATCAATTGAAATGAACATCACAACAACGATAATTGAATGGACATTATCGAGTTATCTCAGGTTAACTCTTCATTTGTATGTTTCTAAATTTATTCAGTCTAGTTGATGAGTGAAATCACTGAGCGGTTTGCAAATGAGTCAGGAAGTACATATCCAGTGTCAAGGTGACTTACAGATATACACAGATGAAGGTGTCAGTGAATATGAGTAACCAATTCTTCATATCATCCTGTTGATTCAGACGACGTGGTATGCACGACAGAACTGATGTCACTGGAGGCTACAGTGTCTCGTGTACACAAGCATACTTCACGTTTCATCATCCTATGTTTCAGGCTCTCACATTCGATATCCGCTTGTGGATAATCACACATGAGCTGACTTGAAGTGAGATGCATTGTACATGCTTTCAAACTGGTTGGTGGCTTCATCAGTGAAGTCGTTAAATATTATGATAATGTGATGTGTCGAGGAAGGAAGATGAAACACTGGCATCAGAAATGCTTAATGTTTCCAATGCTGGAGATTTCCGTCTATTTCAATAACCTCGCCTGAATCTCGAAATACTAATCATTCAACACTTGGCTGAGTCTGCGAAGCAACTGATTTATTTGTGATATACAGGATAGAGAAATTCCGTTTTATACGTGAAGGACATTCTACATGCAATACATTTCGGGAGCTGGACGGATACAGGTCAGAATTAACGATTTCCTTTAAACTCAGTTTGCGCGTTTCCTACACTAACTATTCGGAAACTCACTCAAGGATTGTCTGATCTCTCACCTGCACGTTTATCAACCTTCAATTTCCGATTCAAAAGTGGTCAATTTCTTAACCCCTTATATTCTATTCGATTTGTAACGAATGCATAAGGCTGCATTATTGATATAAGTATAAAACTTGGGCACTGTGGTAGAGTATAACTCCATAATGGTTAAGATTTTATTTTGATAAATCACACAGTGTTGTACAGTTATATTAACTGATGACGTTTCGAGCATAAACTATTGCTCATAATCATCAACTTGATATGATTATGAGCAATAGTTTGTGCTCGAAACGTCATCAGTTAATATTACTGTACAACACTGTGTGATTTATCAAAATAAAATCTTAACCATTATGGAGCATAAGGCTGCAGTTTGATGGAGTAGTTGTTCAGAAGTTCCCTCATGAACAGTCTAGTTGCGATAATTATTCTTATTTGAATATTTCTGCTAACTTTGTAGTCATCATCCTCTCTCCTCCTGGATTATGCATCATTGTTCCTACACTTGCACACCATGTGTTCACTTCTTGCTTATTATTTGTCTCTCTCCCCTTTAGATCTCTAATCTCAATGCTTCTATTTGTGGTTGTATGCTACATTGATAATGTATTGTTTGACTGTGTGATTAAGTTTGAGAGAATCATAGGGCTTCTGAGCTTGGACTGTGGTCGTGAATTGTTGGTGTGTGATTCTTGTTATTGGAATGTGGATGGTACGTTGTTGTGAATATTCTACCTGATTCTCAAGTCCCCCACAAGGTTGAAATTCGGTTAACTAATTCTGCCCTACACTGCTTGTTTTGAACCTGAAATATCCTCTGCCTGTTTAGCTGCCTATCGACCTTGATGAGGTAATTTTGAGTTTTCCATGTTATTATTGTTGATGTGCGTCGTTGGCACAGTGGTTAGAACTCTCGCCGACCATGCACATGGTCCGGGGTTCGATCCCCTGCCGACGCACACCCGATATCTATGGTCGGCCTGCAAAATTTGGACTACCGATATCCATGCTGAAAATTCCATACTTGTACCAAAAATACGGTGTGGCATCAAGCTGTAACCAATAAACGGTTTTGTCTGTTGACACCCAAACTATTTGGCGTTGCTCGTTACATACAGATTTATGGAGGTGCACTTTACAGACATCTCAGCGTATCTAGATATGAAAAAGAGAAGACGTTCAGCGAAGAAAGTGTTTTTGGCGAATCTAGATATGATCCGACGTGCCATTATTCAGATGTTTCTATTTGGTATCAGTGATGAGGAGCATAACTGTTATAACTATTTTAGATACTGGAATTAATGACTAACATCTGGCCACTTATTAGATTGAAAATCGCGTGGAAACATGCTTTATGTGCTATTGGTTCATTTGGTCCGTGTTATCCGTGATTAATCCTTCAAAAATCATTTACTCGGTTGTATTCCAGTTGAGGTCGGTTACAGGTATATACCTCCAAGCTTTCGGTTGCCAACAGCTTCAATAAAATCTTTCACAGGGTTCATGTGTGTGAATAATGCAACGGTAAATTTTTGCCATGAAAACGCTCTCTCCTCTCAGAAGTATCTGACGCACATTCAACTGAAGAAACTCAGTCTCCTAACAGCCACCTCATGACCAGTCTCACATTTCCATATTATTGAAGATGACAACCCTCCTCAAAATCTTTCACTGCGAATTAAAATATTAACCAAGCCTGATCACAAGCAGCAGTTCAATAAAAGTTTGAGTTAGTGAAGAGAAATCGATGCAGATAATTGATTTATTTAATTTACTTAATTGAAAACGAAATATTTACGAAAGCTTCTACAATCCACATTTGTTCAGTAGCACGCCGGCTATGACATTCACCTGGGTTCCTCTCGTCATTTTCCTGTGTGAGAATAAAATCAGTTAGCAGTATTGTTGGATGAAATATTACTGGTGAAATAGTCAAGAAAATCATATACTAGAGAGGAGGATGATTGTTGGTGAACTGTGTGCTTATTTACACAATCCGAGAATTCGGGATATTTTCAGTGAGTGATAATTTCAATGAGTTGCTACCTTTCAATGATTCACTATGCGTCGTGTGGATTTCGCTGGCTTACTTGCATATCCTCAGCGACGCCTATGAATTGTGCATTTGCATTCTCATACATTTACGATACCGTCTATTTAGAACTGTCACAATATTATTCATCGGCAGATATCCGCACGGTAACTTACAACGCCACTGATGGTGCTTTCATCGTTCGACTAAACAGGTGTATTCGAGATTGCAATTCGAACCACACACTCATTGACCTATATTTGTGCTGTATGGTGGGAGAATAGTCGACGGTGAAAAATATTATCTAACTGTTGCAGTGAATATCCGAATCCCGTGTTGTACTTTGCCCACTCATCATCTTCCATCCAGACTGTCTCACATTTCGTATCGTGAAGATTCAAACCTGCACTCCATTAACAGAATTATCCTCGCTTGTCACTTTTATATGATTTAGAGTGGAAGTTGATGCAATATATATCTTACCTTTCAACGTATTCAACTGGGTTGTGTAAAGGTCCTTGCTAACTAGAAATGATATAACATATCGAGAAATATTTGAATTGAATAATGAAAGGGATTGTTCAACATTACTTAGCTCGTAAGATAACTAATATTAGATAGACACTGACTATTATTTATACTGAGAAAATGAACTCACTAATTACAGAGCTGAACCTGTAGTTTTCTTGGAATACTAAATTGATGTATTTTTCCAGTTCCTTCAGATCTGAATTAATTCATGAAAGAATGTATCTTCCGTAGGAGATTTCTCAGAATCAAATTATGAGATTTGAACAAAAAATTACGTTACATGAAATGACACAAAACAATCTATTTCCTGCACAGATTCAAGCAATTGACAACTTCACAAATTCATCCACTTGCATGATGTTAACTTTGCACCATGTTCAAACTGCAGTCATCATGTCACTATGTCAGTACTCATTCAGTTTCACGTTCACCAGATTATCTTTCAGTGTGTGTTTCTACTCATATTCACACCATCTGAACAATTTCACTTGTAGACGACTGACCACATCCTAGACCACCACTGAAATTCTTCATCTCCCTCCATACATTATTTTTCGACTTTTGGAGAATCCTCATCATAGACTGTCGTACAATATGAGGTGGATGTTCATGAATTGAAATCACGATGAAGGTATTATGACATGTGGAAATACACCTTCATCGTCGGTGTATGTGAAAATGTTATTCACTTTATCAAAAATGTAAAAAAGGAACAAATGAATACCTTCTTCATTCGCCGAGGGTATATTTCCGTAACATTTCTCTACAGGGTACGCCTCCACTTTTTCTATTTGTGGGTGAGTAATAGTAGGAAAACAGTTTTTTTTAATGTGAAGTTTGGAATTTCGAAAATTGTTACTATACACACAGACAAAATAATTCAGACTAATTAGTGCAATAAAATGATACTTACTTTGATATTCTGAGACTTCTTTTTGTAAACACTTCAATTCATCATAATAGGCTGGGTCTTTCACTGAAATTAAATTTGTTTCACACATATCAATCCATGTCTATTGTTTTCAATATAATACTTATACACATTGATGCAGGTTGAGTGTAGGTATAATCAAAATTTAGGCGAATAAAATTTGTTTACTTCTTGACAGATTGTCAACGAGTATCCGAAATGAGAAATAAAGTATTGAAACATCTATGGTCAATCACTTCCTCATGTTAATCGGTGAATGAGGAGGTTCTCCACCTTTATTTGACGTTAGCAAATAAAGTGCATCATTGAAATAACGATAGTTGAGGTGTTAACGCGTGAATATAAGCCAGGTGAAGAATGTTGAACAGAATATTGACGAGAAATAAGTATGATTACAGATAAGTATAGAAATGACTCAAAATATCTAGCTTACGGTATTCGAGCTGGAATGCGCTATCTAGGTAAGATAGAAACACGTTGGCATATTTAGTGGCTCTGATAAATTTTAAGTTAACAACCTTGCAAAGATTCATCACGCCGCAGTCGAAGAGACGTATATTATTGAAATGATCAGTGAGAGAGCATTGCATCAACTGTTAGTGTATAACGAAAGTGACTTCTGACTTATGAAGTGGAAGCACAGTGTGTACTGCATAAATTTCGCGAATAAAATTAGGTTTTAAATGAAAAGAAGTTTTGAGAACTCACGTTTAAATGTGGTTTCTCCCCACTTGTATTTGTATGCAGTTTCCAGGCAGTCTGTATCTAAAAAAGGGGGTCCATCATTTCAATAGATACGGTTTGCTTACACTTTTCTATTTCTCCGGTTGAGTTTGCGTTTTGACTGAGAATCTTGGCTAGAAAAACAGAAAAGCAAAAAAGTATGGTGTTAACAGCTTGTGGAGACGTGTATTTTAGTTATGTCGCTATACGCTACATACTAGATGACATGATTGATATCATCATTAGTAATAATTTCGAAAATCTTATTCGAAGCATATTTACGTCAGCGTGAAAATATTATCAACAGTCAGACTTTATGTTATTTATACCTTTAATATTTTGTAATTTCTCTTCTGCAGCTTTGAGATCCAAAATTACTTCGGGTATTTTTTCTGTGAGGAGACGAGAATATTTAGAATGAATCATTATATGTGACGCAAGATGACTGATTGCAAATAAATAATACACATTGGAAATAGTTTCATTGAAGACGAATGAGGGAATTTCAAGCGAGCCAGTCATTCTCAACACTGTTTTTAATGATATCATATCAATTTTCGAGTCTTCAATGAATATCATGACTAAAATGATCATTGTGAGACTTTGGTTATTCTCAAACAATTGCCATGACCAATTCTCAGGTAGATTGTTAACTCCAAATAAGATGCACGTTATTCATTCTTACTTTCAGTTCCCTCTAGCTGCATTTTAATTTGACGTGCCTTCATCGATTCACCTAGAAATGAAATGAAGAATATTAAAAGACAATTATTATGCAGAGAAGCAGTTTCAGACGATTGAAAATAGTCAGAACAATTTCTTCACTTGAAATGTATCAAACTCCTCTAGAGGGCTTCATGTATGCCATTGCAGTGCAGAAACACATCACCTCAAAATTTTAGCTGAAACACTATCAGAACGAAAGAGCATATCGCTGTACAACTGTTAACATACATAGTCTCTGAGTCAGAATGAAGTGAAGGGACGTCTCCACGAGTACTATTACCCTTCCGGTCATCATCTGCCAGTCAAAATGAATTCAAGATGAAAGCATCCGCAGAAAGTGATCACTCCAAAGTAAAAGCTCAACCGGAGAGAATGAACTGTGAGAGTGAATAGCGAAATATTCAACAGTTCTAATGAATAAGGCAAACATTTCGTAAAGAACTAGCCACAAATATACCATCTTTTGAAAAAATGCTTACCTGAAATAGTGGCTGCAAATGCCAACAGAGTGACGAAAGCTACGTGGCTGTATGCGAAGTGGACCATCTTCTTATGGTAACTGACTTTCCGTTCCCGTATTTATACCAAAACGAGCAGTCACAGTTATTGTTGTAATCTGATGATTGGTTAATTACAATAATCATAATTTCATCGTTCATTTGTGGAAGACTGTGAGTGTTGTGATTGGTGAGTGAAACAACGCCTCATGATGTCGAATGACTAATATCATGAATCGTGGGAACCTGAGATGTGCAATGAAATCCGTCAATCTGCAGAAACAGTTTAATTCAAATAGTAAGAATAATTTTTGTGATGGCCTCCACATGAATTTTGTGATACTCTAGCATCATTTGAAAATTTTCTTTCATTTCACTAGTACACATAATGTCATCATTTTGTTCTTGCGACTCAATCATTGCATGACTTCCCGCATTCAATTTGGTAGTATCCGCCATTTTAGAAAAGCAGGTGAAGTCTTCAAGGACACAGTATTTGATTCACATTTCTTCGTCTCCATCTGATTCATCCGTGTATGAAATGAGTCATTCTCACTAAAGAGATTATATGGACGCTGTAATATTCCATGAAAATGCAGTTCCGTCGCAGAATGTTTGCGATGTACTTGAGTTGTCTATGCTGCATGGTTTATTTGTGAATCCTTCACTGCCTTATTAGGCTACATTTTCAGAGCACACTTGTATTTGTCGAAGTGAGCTTTGAAATTTCTCTATAAGTTAATTAGTCACGCCTCATGGTGACCGCTAATGTTATGATTGGTTGCTCTTCTCTGTTTTTGCACCCTCTAGTCTAATTGTATTCGTGTTGATTGTTTACTTGACTCGAAGTTTCACCTTTTGTGCATGAAATTTTCCTTTGATGGATTGGTAAGATTTGTCTATGTCAGTTTTACTGCTATTTGCCGAGTCACTGGAAAACCAGGATTCTAAAACTTCTCTGGCGTACTTGGCGTTTGCTCTGCTTAATATTTCAACGTTGGTTGTCCCAGTCAAATTGATGTCCGTGGTTGTCTGTATGCAGTGATATGAGCGAGGGAGTGGATGTCATGTCTTTCGATGGCTAGATTTTGTTTGTGGATGTGCGGCCAGACAGGGCGTCCACTTTGACTAATGTGGTGTTTATCTCAGTTGTTGCGACATAACTTGTAGATGATGTTGGTTTCGTCTTTCGCTTTTGAGTCTTTTGAGTCAGTCGACTTAGAGCAAGCAGACTGGAGTGATTTTCTCGGTTTGTCTGTGACATCAATTCGTAGACCAGAGGGTGTGAAAATGGAGAAGAGCAAACAATAACGACATTCACAGTCACCAGGAGGGCTGACTGATAAACTAGTGGGGAAAATTCGAAGCTCACTTCGACAATTGGAATAGTACGATGGAGTAGCTGCCTAATAGGGCAATGAGAGCTTCGTGCGTACACCATACAGCTGAACAGTCTACACAACTACATCCAAACCATAACCCGTGAGTTACAAATAATTTGCATTCAGGCTTATAGAATGTCTGAAGGGTTGCTTTCAAATTATTGTAGATGAAGAACTCTCCCCAGAAAAACAGTCTTTATTAATGCACATTATGGTGATTTGGTTGTGTAGAATTGCTTTAATTCACACTTGAGCTAATGGATTCGCTAGCATTACTTGCAGTTTTAATCTAGAGTAGCTGCATTCTGTCGTAATATACCAAAAAGCGCATTGATCATTTTGAGGCGAGGATCATTTTCGTTCGTGTGCAATCTTATCTACCGAAATTCGACGTTATACCAATAATCGGGTTTGTGAAAATCTGGTATATAATCTTCTAGTGCCAGCTCCTGATCGGAGTCTATAAATATTGTGTAGGTAATGTGCTCTGCAGGTGTCAGAAAGTCAAAGGATTTTGAGGCAGGTTGACGGAAGAAGAATGGTATGAGTTTGATGCTTTCACGAGTTGATAAATGTTGGATGCGTTTTCACCAGTGTGAACGATTTTGACTCCAACACTGAAAGTCCCCGGCCATTGGTTCTAAGAGTCTCCACGACCCCAATCAGACAGTCTACATCATCTCACATGACTGAAGCCAACAGTCGCTAATTGACTACAGATTTTGATTTGACTGCTCCCTACTCTTTCCCAAACTAATCTGAATTCAGCTCAGTGTTCAGTATCGAAGAGTGCTGTAATGACATAGTTTACGTCAGACACATTTCAGCCATCTCACTAGATTCAGCTTAACAGCCTCAGATACGCATTTCCTCACACTGTACCGCATCTGTAAGGAACATCAGAGCGAATTTCTGCACATTCGGCATTTTCTTCGATAGATAACTTGTTGTGATATACCGTGGCAAATATCTCACTAAGCTTTCTCCTTCCGTAGTTCTATCTCATCAACAGTCAGTCCACTTGACTACATGAAACTTCGAAAAAGCATTGGAGTTTTTGTAGTACCTGAAACAACTTTATCCACCCTCGCCATATAAGTGGAGATACTGGAGACCTCAACGGAAGTCACATCTATGCATTTTATGTTTCACGGACAATCCTGTCATCCTTCAACACATTCGATAGAAAGGGAAACGGATATTAGTGTTGAACTCGCAATTTTGACTTAAGCAGTATGATGTACTTTGTGAATTATAGACAACCAATACTTGTGCATCGCCAACAATCATTCTGGAGAGAAGTGAGTAGTGATTAGATCGAGAACTCAGTTACAGTTATGTTGCTTCGGAAGAAACAGGGGATAATGGAAAATACATTTGAAGTGGTGCTTCGAAAGGCAAATAAGAGAAGTTAGAATACACCGACTGTGAGGTTGGTTTGTGTACAGTTTATCGAAGGGAACCATCAGCTTGCATCTACAAGTGTTGCAAGATCATACATTCTAGGGACAAAAGGTACGTCTTAGTCAAGCATGTGAGATGATATTGCAAGTCATTCCTTGTCTGTTCAAAGTGAGATCACAATTTACACTCCTCTCACCTCAGTCTTTTCGTATCAAGAATGCACTGTTCGGCAGATATCAATTGTATTTATATCTCACGGCTTCACACATGAGGCATAGATAGAAGATAGTAGATAAGGAGCATACTCATTCTTAGTCACAATTAGCGGCTAAAGAAATCAAGTGATCTCACCATTGAAGATGTATTCAAAAGGTAGTTTTCAGGTAACGTCTCATGCTGTAACGAAGCACATAACCATTTGGACAAAGTTAGAATCGCCTTGAACAACTCAACCACAACCACATCGTAAATCCGCATATTATCGATGTGTTGCACAACCACAAATAGTAGCACTGAACTAGAGCTCAAACACTGAATAACTTGACTGCAGTGTTCTTCACACTTATGTTGTATATCAGAAGTGAAATGCACACAAAAACAGTGGTGAAGTGCATTTAGACAGACCAGATGTGAGATACGAAGAAATCAGTTGAATTGTGAGTGAAATCTGTTGTCTCATGTGAAGTGTGTAAACTGAATCAATGTAGTGGTGCAGGAAAATCACCTAACTGATGCGCCCACAGCTTTCGAAACAATATCCGAGCTGGAAAACTCACATTTTACGACATTACAGTGAAGTCATATATACACCAAATAATATTCAAGTTAGTAGCTAAGACTGTCAGTTGATTGAGATAGTGTCAGCATAGATTAAAAGCAGGAGATGATAAAAGAGCCAATTATTTCGCTATCAACGTAGTAATTCATGCGTTTCGCACTCAAAACTATCTATATCACATAGAACACATGCTGGCCAAATATGGTGTCTTTGAGTTCCTGTACTTGGCAGTACGAGCACACAATATTTTGTACTGACTCCTAGTTCTACCAGATGAGATACACGTGTGTGGAGAGTTGAGAATTTAGGTGATGGGTGTTGAGGGTGAGAAAATGTGGGTTTAGACCATTTCTCGCATGCGTTCAGATGTCTATCAGCTAATGTAGTAAGTGACAAGCTGAACGATTAAGATTCACACTACTGCCGTTATTGAAAACTGCTGATACCCATCTCGAATTGACATACTCCTTTCCCAGTTGACCAAGGAAGACTAAGTTTGGTGAAGCAGTTACGTACTGTAGGTAGGAGAGTGGAGTTACAAAATTCTCAAAGTAGAGGTTGACTGATTCCAGTTTGTCTTAGCTTCCTAATGTAGTAGCACAGACGAAACATTTTCTTGAGGATCAACGAAATATGGGATGACCGAGTAAGGTCAGTGGATAGAAGTATACGAATGTATTTTGTGCCAGACGCAACTTCTCTCTCATTCCACTCTATGGCATAAGAGCCATGAGTAATATGCAATCGTTGCAGACCACGTTTCTCTCTGAAGGATGAGTGAATAGTCTTGCATTTGAGGGATTTCACGTGTGACCATTTAGCTTGAACCTATGTCTGATGTTCGACAATAACCCATCAAGTTTGCAACAGTCTGAATGAGACTTGACAGGAAGCGAGACGGTCAGATCGTCAGCGTATCTGACGAAGTTGAACGCGTTAGAACGAGTTAAGTCATGTACGCAGAATGAGAGAAGAAGAGGGAGAGAAAACAGCATCGTGAGTAACACCAGCTTCAGTAAGTGAGGTAGAGGAAGACTCACCGTTGTATACACTATACAATCAGTCAACAGTTCCGGACTCAAATTAAACCATTAGGACTCACTCAGTGACGGCTTTATTCTGTGTATTAATTCCGCTGTAGATTTCTAAATCTCATTCATTATTGTTTCTATAGGCTTCTATATTTTCTCATATGGAACCCTCTCAACATGTCTCGTGACTTTCTTGATATAGTCAGATTTATCGAAAACTACTGTGGAGTCTCCTTTCTCATCGCGAAAAGGTCAGGACACA